GACCGCCAGCCGGAGAGGTTGGTGGTTTTGGCTAACTACACGGGACTAGTAGTCTCGTGTAGTTTGAAAACTTCCCGGCAACAACGACCATTTTCAGATGAAAATGGTCGAATTTGCTGTTTTTTTCTCAAAATGGTTGATTTTTCTCATTAATGTTGAAAAATTGTTGTTTTAAAAATTTGTTCGTCATTTTTCTCAACGTGATGGATTTTTGGCCTACAAATGATTATGTGAATGAGCGCTTGCCCACATAAAATATTGTTTTTAGCACAATTTTTTGTATATTTAGTAAATCCTCCAATATCTTAATTTTACTTTGAGAAACATAGTTTTTATGTTATTTTATACTCATTCATATCATTTTTAAATAGAAACTAGTCGTAAAGGTTTTTACATTGGGATGGAGATTTTCCAACTCGAGAAATAAATGTGCAGTCATATGTGTAACTAGTGACCAATACATTTTAAATGATCATACGTGTAGTATGCATGCATACAAAGACTTAAAAGAGAGAAAATGGTGAATAAGTGTGACAGGTGAATAAATAATGGTTTGACTAAAACTGTAAAGGGGACAGTGACTCTTAGGAGGAGATGATTAATTCATGCATTACACATGTACAAAAAACTAGGAGAAGGATTTCAAATGGTCTATGTGTAACTGGTTGAAGTAAGGATGAATTAAGAAATGATTATTCTTTCTTGGAGTTTCTCTTTTCATCCAGAGATTAAGTCAAACCATCTATATGTTGTGTGGGCAGTTGGGTTTTTTTGGCAATACACATACATTGTACGTGTGGGTGCAAACTTTTTTGGCAATAAAGATTCTTAATGATTTCTACCTACCATAAGATTTTAAAAGGCAAAGGGCATGCAATATGGTATCTCAAGAAAATGTTAGTTTCATGAAATATTATTGTTTTCTCTGCTTGTTTCCTATAGAAAACATTTAAATTCACAATAAAAGGATTATGGGCGAAAATTAGTAAATATGAATTAGGATATAAAAAATAGATACAATATTGAAGGGGAAGCATGGTGCACAAATCTCTTGCTATATGCAAGGTCCTGAAAGGGTTGAACCACTTTGGTTCTACTACATGCAGCCCGCGGATAGTGTCGCGTGGTGAGGTACCGCTAAAGCTATTTGCCTATAGCAGCAAAATGGTGGTAAATAGCGCATAATCAAATAGTGATCCAATTTAAATACATTTAAATTTTCTAAGAAATAAGAAAAATCAATGCAACGACAGGGCTTCGTCGAGGAGATGGATCAGAGGCAGTTGGAGGATCTGGAGAGGAGAGGAGATGGAGCTCGTTGAGGAGACTGTTGTTTGCTGCAACGTTAAGGAGGGGAGATGGAGCTTGTCGAGGAGTTAGAGGATATGGAGAGGAGGCGAAGGAATGGTGAAAGGAGGCAGCGGAGCTGGAGCTCATCGAGTATGGAAGAGAAAGAGAGAGACGAAGGTCTGATTAGGGTTTTTTGAGAAAGAGGCGGAGGCAATCGAATACAAAAGAGAAAGAGAGAGTGGGTTCGGGTTTAATTCGGGTTGGGTTTTTTATAAAATCAACCAAAAAGTGCTAATAGCGCTCAAAAGCGTTTCTAAGCATATTAACTGCTTTTGAGCGCTACTTAGCGCTTTTCTCCGCTCTTTCGAATGAGGTCTTCGGCGCTTTTTCTCACCGCTATGGCCATAATCATCACGGGCAAGGGCCGCTAACGCAATTGCGTTGCAATTGCCTGCTATTTACAACACTGATACAGCCTTATCTTACCATTTTTACAAGAGGTGGTTTTCACTACTCAAACCTATGACCTCCCCTGTTCATATGGCGGCGACTATTACCTGCACCACGGATACCCCTAAGAAAGAGACTTAATACTACATGTTAAAATGGATATATCATAAATTAGATGAAAAAAAACTTGTAAGTAATAGAGAATCTTTTTAACCACAGAATGATTATTCTTATATATGGGCGTTATTAGACAAGTTATGTTGAAGTTACAAAGTAAATTGTACAACTTTCCTACCAAGTCTTTTAGGAGAAGTGCGTCCACCATTATATACTTCTTTACTAGCTAACTAAGACTACAAAATTGAAATATTATGCTAATTGTAGGGAAGCAGCTCCTAGTTATAGGAATCAACATGAAGTCCCTACTTGGGCTCTTTGTATTATTGTATTTATGTCTTTCGTGGGTCTGTTTACTTCAGTAACAACAGTGATGGAGCCTGGCGTCCACTATATATACATAATATATAAGTATGTGCTATCATCTTTGATTCTTTACATATATATGCATTTGGGGATCTTCCATATTAGTCCCTTAAATCTTTCATAGTTTAAATTTTTAAATTAACCCCTTAAATCATTAAAATTTCTACTAGTTCCCTGAATCCTTTAACTTATTTTGAAATTTTTCCCTAAAAAACATTGGAATTCTTATTAGTTCCCCAATTGACAAGTTGGCAAAATCAAGAAGTGAATAATCTAGTGGTGGTGATATAAATTTTGCAGATTATTAATACCTTCAAGAATTGCTTGTTTGTTCTCGCATTATCTTTCACATGGCTCAAATGTTAATAATCTTTAACCTGATTAGTGGAAGCTCCGCGTCTGCTAGTAAGCTCATCACTGGTGAATAACGTATTTGTTTTTGGGTGAGACCATGATTTATCCTATTTCGCGATGTTTGACCCATTCGTTGGCATGAATAGGGGACAACTTGCACATCGCCACGTATTCTAACGGAATTAACGAGTTAATTCCACACAGACCCCTGTAGAATTGCTGTTTTTGTCTTACTACTCCTGTACTTCCCTTATTGCAGATGGACCCCCTGGGTTAAATTTTCGTGCCTCTTTTATCCTTGGTGAACTTTTGACTGATATTGACCCTCGATGAAATTAATGCATCTATCTCAGGGTAAAATAGTCAAAAAAATTAATCCCGGGTTCTATCTGCAACAGTGAAACTGCGCGGGCAGTAGCTTGATAACACAGATACTGCAGGGGGTGGTCTATCCGCAATTAACTCTTTAAATTATGACATTTTGAGATTTGAAATTCTTAAATTTCTGGGTCTAAGTAAACAGCATCTTTATTCTCAACAGGATCGAGAGGGCTGCACGCTACTGGGGCCAAGAGCATGGGAGGGCACGATGAGCCCTTTTACTTGCACGCGAGGCACATGTACAACCTCAACAGGATGAAGCATCAGAAGCTGAAAGTGTCTCTTGCTGTATTTTCTGCCTTCAGCATTGGTGTTGCTGTTCCAGTCTATGCTGTGGTCTTCCAGCAGCAGAAGACTGCTTCAGGATGAACTTGGATTGCTGTGAAATAAAGTGAAGCGGCTCGCAGTTTTCACTTTCATTGAGGGGGGGTAAACCGAACCATAGTATTTCATTTTTTTTTTGAACAGAAGTTTAGATTTCTCTTTTCTTTGTGGAAAGATTTGTTTGTTTCAATAATTGTTTTTTTTACGAGTTCATTGTAGAGCTTGCTGGTTTCATCGTTTCGTTTCAAGTAAATTGCTCTATAAGTTTTAGCCTCGAAATGAGGAAGCCTTCTTAACTTTTTGTCTGTTGAAGTATTTGGAGAAGTTCCGGTGCATCTTTAATGCCGCCTTCGTGCTTGTATATTTTTCTTTCCTGATTGATGAGGCTATGATGAACTCGCATTGAGCCTAGCTACTTTTATTTTAGGGTTACTTGCGGCTCTACCTGTAGTTTAAATATTTTGAATTTATTACTCTACTTTTATTGTTGTAGATAAATCTGAGTGAAATTTGTAGGTTAAAATGTCCAGTTTTCACGCAGGTGTCAATTTGCAACCGTAAAACTTGGACGAGTACCAGGTTCAAAACAACGATTCTAAGGGGGTCTATGCAATTAACCCTTTATTTAATCCTTTAATGTATTACAGTATTCTTTTCTTTCGTTCTTTGACCAGGTTTTGAACCGGTTCTAGCCTCGTTCTCCTCTCTGAAATATATTTCAATCTTTATCGACTTTACTAAGGGCGTGTTTGATTGCCTAAAAAAATGGGAAATCAAAGAATAGGAAAACTTGTATTATGGTTATTTGGTTGGCTAAAAAAAAAGTAAATCAAAGAATAGGAGATGAGATGAGTTGTCACCATATTATTAGATGATGTAAGTGATTTTTTAAGAAAACTTGTTTTAAGTCTGTTTGGTTGGTTTAAAAAAATAAGGATATGTATTATAAGAAACCTATTTCCTATAATAGGTTCTTTTCTTGTGTTTGGTTCATTCTTAAAAAAAAATAGATGAGATGTGATGACCTGTCATTATATTATTGTATGATGTGACTCACACTAAAGGGAATCTGTTGATATCCGAAATCAAACAGTCGATGAGAGCTGTCCGCTGATGATGAAGAGTGAGAGGATGAGAGATGGGGTTGCTTCCTACTTCGACTTTATGTCTAATTCTTAGAGCTCGAGATGGATGAATGACCTGCACACGCAAGAATTGTAAGAGGACGGGGCTTGTTTCCCCTGTGGTACCTCCGACGATCAAGTCAGTTGGTGAACTTAGGTGGGGTGAAGGAAGAACGGTGTGTTCTTCTCTTTGTGTAGTATGTGCTATGTGGGGGGGTTTTGATTGCGAAAAACCGAACCTTTTTTTAGGGCGAATAACGTCTGTATTTATAGAGGATGCCAATGGTAGATTAGTCACTTCATGAGTGTGTGGTGGATGGTGGTGAGTGTTAGACCCTAGAGGGGGGTGATTAGGGTCTTATGCTAATCTAATCCGATTAAATGCCAATTAAAACTAATTCACAAGTTATCCTAGCAAGTATAAAATACAACAAGATATGTGAGCTAGGATAAGCAATATGAACAACAAGATATATCCTAAATGATAGAAATATATGCAAGGATATATAAACTAACACAAGATAATATATCCTATCAAAGAGATATACAATATGATATATGTATGTGCAAGGATATATAAGATCAAGGGTAAACAATCTAAACTAGATAGTGGGCAATATAATCAACAAGCAATATACAAAGACGATATAAGATATGAACATAAAAGTAAGTGCGCCAATGCAATCACAAACAAACAATATGATTACGGAGTTCGGTCCCCACCAGGGGAGGATCTACATACAGTCCAGGGGGGGCCACGGCCCCCCCAAAATTTGGGGAAAAAATTTAGGGTGCTCTATTCCTAATTTAGGGGAAAAAATTAATTTGTGAATATTAATTATTTGAGGGGTTTTACGTATATATTAATAGTAAATACATTACCATGAGCAGCAACAAGATTAATAAAGGGGGTTTCATTGAAATTGAAATTTATGAAGAGGTATTTAGCGAATGGTTATTCTTAAGGGGGTTTATTAATAAAGGGGGTTATTCTTAAGGGATTAATAAAGGGGGTTTCATTGAAATAGGAAAAGATGACAACTTCAGCTGAACAAGTTGCAACAAATCGTCTTCGGTTAAGAGCTCATATACTTATGGTGCGATTGCTTGCACTCCAAGAGATTCCGTTTAGAGGCCACGATGAGAAATCTAGTTCGTCCAATCGTGGTAATTTTCTTGAATTTTTGGATGTTCTGGCCATGGAGAATGACGAACTTTCAAAGGCAATTGCGAAAGCTCCCAAAAATGCCAAATATACAAGTCATGATATTCAAAAACAAATACTTCATGTGTTTTCAGTGAGATTGAAAAATACAATTCGTGAAGAAATTGGAGTTGCCAAGAATTGCATTATTGTTGATGAAGCCCGTGATGAGTTGCACGGGAAACTTTAGAAACATTTGCAAACATGGATGATCTTTTAAAATTATTTTGCAAATGTGAAACTCTCTTTAAATCAAAACAAAATTTGGCCAAATGACCAAATCTACCACAATGATCACATCTATACACATGAGCATGCTTATGATGAGCAATGGGTGCATGTGTGTGTACATGTGATGAAGAAACTTGATGAGATGCACAAGAAGGATTAATATTCTTATGTTTTTGTGCATCATAGCAAAATTTAGCTAAATGGCCTTTACGACCACAAATGGAGCACTTGTAAACTTTGCTATACAAGTGTGCATAGTGTATGGGTGATTTACTAGATTTAGCACACTTGTCCATAAGTTTCTTATGGTTATCAATGCATATTTTCAAAGTTGAATCTAAAGATGAAATACTATTTTTCATAAGATTCAAATCTTCATTTTTAGGCACATATGCATTTTTAGAAGTAGAACATAAATAATCATTTATAAAGGAAGCAGTATTATTTTGTATGTTCTTTACTTCTAACATGGCATTATCTCTTTCATGAGTTAAACTAGCAACGTTTGAAGTTAAAGAAACATGATCCAATTTTAATTTTTCATTGTTTTCTTTAAGGATCACATTTTCATTAGAAATAGTTTCAAACTTAGATGCTAACAACTCATGATCGGATTTCAAAATTTCATGCTTGCTTTGTAAATTAATGAAATCATTTTGCAATTTGTTAAAGGCATGTAATAATTTTTCACTAGCACAAGCAAGTTCATCATTAGGTAAATCATTAATAGATTTGAACTCGCAAACCTCACTAGGGCTATCGCCTAGTGGCCGTGTGCATGATGCTCCACATGAACTTGAAGCGGGATCCTCCAAAGCTTGTCGGATCGCCTCCAAGTCTCCTTGATGTGCTTCTATAAATATCCATAAGGTGTAAGCACTATCAAAATGAACAAACTTGTTAGACATAGATGAGTTAAAAGCATTTAACAAATATTCTAACAAAATGTTGTTCATAGTAAACATGCGATGATCATTTTTATTCCACTTGGATTTCTCCAAAATGGGCACAATATAAGCATCATCTATAATTTCCCATAAATCAAAATGTTTAGATCTAACAAATAGTTTAAATCTAACACACCATTGGGCATAGGGGAAATTGTCTAATCTAGGAGCAACACTAGAATCATAGCCTAAACAAGATGCATCATTCATATTCATAATTTGTAAAAATATATGCAAGCAAGATACAAATAAAGCTCAAAAATAGATTAGCACAATAAGCTAACTTGGATCTTTAACTCAAGGCGATTAGACCTTAAATCAAAGAGCACCAAGCTCTGATACCAATTGTTAGACCCTAGAGGGGGGGTGATTAGGGTCTTATGCTAATCTAATCCGATTTTATGCCAATTAAAACTTAATTAATAAGTTATCCTAGCAAGTATGAAATACAACAATGTATATGAGCTAGGATAAGCAATATGAACAACAAGATATATCCTAACAAAGAGATATAGGCAATGTATGTGCAAGGATATATAAACTCAAGGGTAAACAATCTAAACTAGATAGTGGGCAATATAATCAACAAGCAATATACAAAGGCGATATAAGATATGAACATAAAAGTAAGTGCGCCAATGCAATCACAAACAAACAATATGATTACGGAGTTCGGTCCCCACGACCTACGTCTCCGCTCCTCACCTCGAGGAGATCTCCACTATCACAACCGGGTTTTCTACGTTCACCCGAACAACGTTTACACCTCACAATACAATCACTATGCAATCACACCTCACACACTAAGTGTTGGTCCTAGCCTGTGTCCTCCTCCTCAAGTGCTCGGTTACAACCTCTCCCTAGGCACGTCAACCGACGCCACTCCTCTTGGATTCGACCCCGTCTCTCACCACACACTTCTCTCGGTGTACAAGTGTATTACAAGTGAATCCTCACAATTAGGCTCAATACAAAGTGTTTGTTCTCTACAATGAATGAGAACGAATTATAAGCTCACTCTCTAAGTTACACAATCCCACAACCCAATTATACTATGAATGTAAATACAATAAGCTCAATAGGTTGTGTGTGAACAAAGAGTATCAATAAGCTAGATGAGTTTAGAAACACTTCTCTAAAGATGACAAGAGAGTGGGAGAAGAGTGAATGCTCAAACACCAAAGGATGATCTCCACTTGCTCTTGTGAAATTTGCTTCACAAACAAAAACTCTTAAACACTCTTTTAAACAAACACAAAACACCCTTAAACTTGTTTAAATAATTCTCTTGGTTTGGTTGAAAGAGAGCAGCAATAGGGTATTTATACCCACTCAAAAACTCAGCCAAAACCCCCAAGCAAAAGTCCAAAAAGCCCCAGAAAAATCAGCTCAGAAAATGGCCGTTGAAGTCCAACGGTCATATTGGCGGTCGACCGAAAATATTTGCGGTCGACCGCGAAGAACAAAAACACGAAGGACTGTTCTGGACAGTCGTCGGTCGACCGGTGCGGTCGACCGATGGAGCTCTCGGTCGACCGTACCGGTCGACCGACCAACTCTCTGCTGCATGGTAACGAAAGAACAAATGATCGGTCGACCGGTGCGGTCGACCGAAAACTGACACAGCAGAAAATTGATATGCTGATTTTAAAACACTGTTTAAAAATATCAAATAAATTCCAAAAAATATAAAACTTTGGGGAATGATTGTAGACATGATAATAAACATGCTACAGTGACTGGTTATCAGAAAGAACCTCCCAAATGAAAAATATCATCATTTTATAAAATAGTCCAAAACATAAAAATGTAAACACATGAATTTGATGTTTTGACCTAAACCAACTTTTGAAATTTTACAAAATGATTTATAGACTTGAAGAAAGATGTAAACTATTGTTATGAAGTCTATAAACAATGAATGTAATATTTTATCAACTATTGTTATGAAGTCTATAAACAATGAATGTAATATTTTATCAAAATACACATATAATGCACTAAAACATGATTTCATTGAACTAACTAAAATTGATATTGATGAAATCATATATATGCATATAAGTATGAAACAAAAATATGTTTTCTAATTATATTCAATTGTTTCATAGTAAAACTTAAAAACTATCAAACCAAAACATATATGTATATATATAACTATATATATACAAAAGCCAAAACGTGTATGTGTGTATATGATTGAGCTTAAAGTACTAACACACATAATATAAACTCCTAAACTAAATTACCCAAGCTAGATCTTGATCTTCAATAAGCTCTTCTAGGTAATCTCGCGGATGAAGCTTTAACTTGGATCTTGAACTTTGAATTGCATAAGCTTCACCGACATTCCGCCAACCTCCTTTGGATATGATCGTTGAAGCTCTATTCCATCCATCCTCCAACTACGTTGTTTGTCTATAATAAATAGGAAAACACAAATACTAGACAAACAACATTAGTGGTAAATTATTTGTTAAACATCATCAAAACAAAGAGGCCAACAGTGAGGGGTGAGCTGGAGGTTAACTCACCTTTTGCTCTATACGTATAGGTTTGTGAGTGTTGGAGGTCACTTCGATGATATGGGGAACCAGCGACCGACGAGGCTTGTCAGTGAGCGACGGGAGGTCACTTCAGCGATATAGGGAACCAGCGGCCGACGAGGCTTGTCGGTGAGCGACAGGAGACATAATGATGATCATCAAATGTTAAAAAATGTTTAAGCAATATTCTGAATCGTCATTGGGAGGATTGTCGGCTAACGCTGAGTAGTAATCCTTTGATATGAAGAGGGTCGATTGAGTCCGCCTCTCGAGTCGTTTTTGAGGAATGATGCCGACTCGACTGGGGGAGTGACGGCTCGGTTGTCCTTTAGGTCGACTCCGAGGAGCGTTGAATCTCTGGAATGCTGATTTTCATACCGTCTAATACTGCCATCCGAGTCGGCAGATCGTGTCGGCTCAGCTGAGGGGTCGAGATGCCTTGAGAGCCAGTCTGCCTGGTGGGTAAAGGTGTTGGCTTGCAGGATTGCATATTTGTGGAGAATAGGAGACGCCCTATAACAAAATCAATTTCTTTGTTTTTTTTGAGGAAATGGGTGGAAATAAAATGTTAATGAGATGAGATGAGTTGTCATCATATTATTGGATGATGTGAGTGATTTTTAAAGATAAGATGAGAAGAGTTGGATGATGTGACACATTTCTTGTGTTTGGTTTATTTTTAAAAGTAAGAAAGGAGATGAGATGTGATGAGTTGGTGGATAAAAATAATATTTTATTGATAAAAGTGTATATATTTTCTTTTCTTAGAGCTTCTCCAACCGTTCCGCAAAACTCCATTTTGGAGTCGGTTCCGTCTCCAACCGTTCCGCAAAAAATGCAGCCCAGCTGCAAAAATCAAATTGTTGCTGCAAATATGCCGCCTCAAGTCTAAATTTGAAGCCGGCTGCAAATATTTCCCAAATACCCACTTTACCCTTTTAAGGACTTATAAACAATTCATTATTCCAATTGTGTCCTATTATTATTTTTTACTTACTTAAAATATGTATATATATATTAATATATTAAATATTTTTTAATGAAAATAATATCATTGGAAATTTCTCATCGATACCTTCAAAATGAGACTAATATCGAAATATAAAATTGTAAAACAAGTAATTAGAAATGATAATACATTAAAAATTAAACAGAAATAAAACACATTAACTTAGAATTACATCAAAACTTTAATAAAAAAAAGTTACATCACTTCATTGCCGTGTCTCTCCCACAAATGTTCAATTAATGTATTTCGAAGTGCGGAGTGTGCATCTTTGTCTTTGAATTTCTTATGCCGGGTCAGGAATTGTTGGAACCGTTCGACATCGTTCATCCCTATGTCTTCAACATTTGAAATTGATGGTGGATTAGAAACGACAATATCTTCTTGTAATGGTCGTGGATTTAGTAATATCAATGTCTGTTTATTTTAGTCCGAATGCCTATTTTATATTAATACATTTAATAATATTATTTATATTATATAACTTTTATTATTTTTATATATTTAAAATAACAACTCAAGTGTTTATAATTTTTATATATTTTTAAAATAAGTAAAAGACTTGTTAAATTGAGAGAAATTAAAATGGAGTTAGAAATGGAGGAGTGTGCTTGGAGTTACAAAGCTCTATTTTAGCATATTCCTTAGAATATGCTTCAGTGGGGACTCCAAAATAGAGTCAATGGTTGGAGTTGCTCTTAGGGTGAGTTTTAGAGAAGTAAATGGATAAAAATAATATTTTAATGAAAAAAGTACAAAGATTTTTTTTTTTTTTTTGTTGTTGTTAGGAAACCAATCAAACAGCCCCTAACTTGATATGACTATTTCTCTTCTTTTTGGAAGAAAGTCGTTTCCCGCGTGATGAACATAAAAAACATTTTTTTTCCTCCTTCGGCCTGCTTGACTTGACTCTATCCATATTTCGTAGAATCTCTTTTTTGCAAACAAATTAAATGCCCTGTATACCCTTGAGAAATTGATCTTTAGGTCTCCAAAGTGTGAAAGAGCATCCACAATATTCAAGTAAAAAAGCGTAAGAAAACATGAGAACCATTGGTTTGTGGTCCAATCAAAACAAGCTATGTGATGCAGAGAGCTTGAAAAAGACGTTCACGTCGACGTATGGAATGTCTGAGCGTATGCCCATTCTTTTTCCAACTTTTTTTTATTTATTGGAACAAATTCACTTTTCTATATATGTTGATATTCTTTTGACAAAATTAACATTGCTACTTTCACAGTTTGGTCCCAAACAAAATACAATTTCATGATGTCAAAGTTAAAACAGAGAGTACTTTATGACCCCCCAAAAATCATGGACTAACTATGCAATAAGTTAACACGTGTTGTTTTCTTAGCATTCTAACTAAGATTAGTGACTACCATGAAGTTGCATCACTTGTCTAATAATTGGTCTCATAAAAAAAGGGGGCTAAACTGCACTTAAATACGATATAGTTTCACACTATTAGCACTTATATACTTTAAGTTGTATTTTATAGCATTTATATATCCTAAGTTGGTCAAAATTGGTATATTAATACCCTATGTTTTGCAAACATGGCAATTTTTTCAGAAGTTCTCATATAATATTTATATGCTATTCTTATAGTTTTTTCTCTATTAAGGTTGTTGAATTCATTGTTAAATCTTTTAAAATTCTATTTCTGAAATAGAATTATGATGCATTTAAATTAGAATTTGGATAGGTTTAATAATAATTTAATAAATATTGATGTTTAGAAAACTTCAAAAATTAACATATGAATGTTATATGAGAATTTTCGGATAAAAAATTTCACGTTTGCAAAATATAAGGCATTAAAGTGCCAATTTTGACCAATTAAAGGTATATAAATACTATAAAGTATAACTAAGGGTAAATAAATGCTAAAGGAGTGAGACTATATGGTGTTTAAAAATGAGAATTGTACTAAGCATTCATGTGAGACCTGTTCACATAATCCAAGAGTATATATTCTTCATAATACTCGCATGTAAGTAGGGTGGTCTGAGTCATTATGAAAAAAGGTAAGAAATTAGAAAATTTTGAAGCTAGTTTTTTATGATGAAAAATACATTAAGTATCCAAAATATGGGACCAAGTGAGAGGACATGTGACGTGTTCCATCCCTATTGCATAATGAACTGATCATGCTAGCTCATCATATAATAAAAGGGGAACATCACACGTGTCCCTCCAATAATCCTATATTTTAGATCCATGTAGCAGCACTCCCTTTTATTATTACTCGCAAGCCTCGTGCTTGCCTAAAAACATACACTACTTATACATCAAAGATTAAAGGTCAAAGGAAACGAAGGCGGTGAACTGATTCCCTAGTGGGCCCACATGATCTGAGTGCCATCGGATACGTCCGAGTCAAATAGCACATAGAATAAAAGGCTAGGGCTTTAAAAACACGGAAGGTTCGTTGACAGGATTCGAAAATTAACGGTCGAGATGAACCTCGAAGCTACAAAGGGCAGTAGATAATGACCACCGCAATCTACTGTGGGCCCCACTCTTCGGTTTATTATTTCCCAAAAAAGGCGGTTCAGGTTTTAACGAGCTCACGGTTCTGAACCAAGCCCGGCCCGGAAAGTTTTGAGTTTGAAAATGGGCAATTTTACAACGTCCCCTTTATGTTTGGGCGTTTAACAGATTACCCCCCTTAAACATGAAAACGCCGCAAACCCCGTTAAATTTTGTGCTCGTCAGAAACCCCCTTCAAGTTTCAATGTTTTTTCAAAAAAAAAAAAAAAAACCCTAAAGACCTGAACCATAATTTTTTACTAACAAAAATAATCCCTTGCATAGTTTTAACCACCCAAGCGAAAAAAAACTTGGCTAGTGTCGTTAGGGTTTATTTTTGTAACATGCTAAAAGTTGCATGGGGTTTTTCAAGAACCCCGAAACTTTAGTAAGGTTTTGTGAGATTTTAAAAATTAAGAAGGGTCATATGAGAAAAGCCCAAATTTGAGGAGATTTTTCTGCAATTTGCTAGTGTTTGTACGTCAAAATTTTATCTTTTTGACCTTTTCATTATGATCATAGTTAGCTACAGCCTAATGTGAAGACTAAAGAAAATGGGGGTAAAAGCCTAGATTCAACTTTTACAGTTGGTGAAATGGCCATAGTTAGGCAAAAGTTTAGATATTAAAATTGCACATGTATCTTTCTCGAGAAAAATTAACTATACATGACTACATTAAATCATACAAGCAATATTTTCAAAATATTTTGTTATGTCTAATATCATCACTAATAGGTATTGTCTGTTTACACTAGTATATATGGAAATGTGCAAATAAAAATAAAACTAAAAATGAAAATAAAACTAAAGATAAGTTTTTCAAGTCTAGGGCACGCCGCAGCTCCGCCGATAACTCCGCTGCCTGAGATCAATTACCGGCGAGCTCATCTTTCTCGAGAAAAATTAACTATACATGACTACATTAAATCATACAAGCAATATTTTCAAAATATTTTGTTATGTCTAATATCATCACTAATAGGTATTGTCTGTTTACACTAGTATATATGGAAATGTGCAAATAAAAATAAAACTAAAAATGAAAATAAAACTAAAGATAAGTTTTTCAAGTCTAGGGCACGCCGCAGCTCCGCCGATAACTCCGCTGCCTGAGATCAATTACCGGCGAGCTC